TTCGTTGTTTTCTGCTACTTCATGAACGACATTCCTCAATTCTAGAAAACCTCAAGTAGGAGATGTATCAGAAAAAGCCTGCAATTCGGGAAACGTCAAGTAGTATATGCGGAAGGAGAATAATGGTTCTTCAATAAGGTGCAGAGGGTGAAAAAGTGGGCTATAACCCACCCGTCGGACACCGTTAATGGCTACAAAAATATGTGTTTGAAAAAAGAGGTGGGGTTACTCATCATTCTCCTACCTCAGTTTTCAAAAACTACGTTGGTATTCATGGAGATGTTTGTTTTTTCAAGTTGTGATTTATAGGTTTTCATTTATGAAGGTAGAATCCAGGTTTGCACTATCGTCAATATTGTAAGATTGCAAGTCACCAAGGAACAGAAAATTGAAAGTATTTACAATGAGATCAGAAAATATGAACCACAGTTGAATACGGTGTGAAAATGAATTAATTCTTGTGTTGCAAAACATTTAAGTGTCTTCATTTTAATTATGGGTTTTGGAGACAGAGAAGATGCGGATTTGGCATAGTGAAGAAATGAGTTTTATATTTAGGTCACCAGAGAAGATGACTTCATAAGGGGGTAGTCGTCGGAGAGGGTTTACCAGAGAATCAGGGAGGAGCCAGAGAATGGGTCGGGGAGAAAGACGTTGGAGAAAGGAATGTGGGAGTCGTGTGTTTTTATTAATAATATTTTAATTGAAAATTTAATGAAAAATATAAAATAACAAAAGTTATTCCTTGTTCAACGAACATTTTAAAGGCTTGTTGGTAATAGGGAAAAAAAAACAAAAAGAATTGCAAACTATAATGACTGCTAATGTAATAAATGAAGACCACGGACAAAAAGATAAATTTTCAACAAACCATAGGGACGAAAAACTTAATTTACTCTAACTTTTTTGAATTATGGTGTTATTTTGGTCATCCAACTTTCATGTGGAAATGATTGTCCATTTATTTAAAAAAGTTCAAATTTTAGGAAATATTCAATAAAAACAAATGTCATGTTTTTTAACTTGAATTTGGACCATCGCACAACTTTCAATGTCGAACACTAATCAATATGTATATATGTGTGTGTAGGGTTTTAAATAAATTTTGTAACCTTTTAAAACGCATCGGAAAATAATTTTAGGTTACATTATTTGGAAAACTTTTTCGGAAAGAAACCTTAAGTCGGATCTAATGACATTTAAAACGCATCTAAATAAACCGTGAGGTATTTAGAGTGTTAACTTTCAGATTTGAGGTAGGTTCTAACGAAACACATTTAGAAACCGCATTAGGTTTCCTCTAGGTGTCACTCCAAGCTCTTGATCATTTCCCTTTAGGCTCGTCCTTACTATGCCCTGCTAAAACATGACTTTTAAAAAAAAAGTGTTAGACAAGTCTAACGAGCTCAATCATTTAAAAAATATTGAAATCATAGAATTTAATAATATGATAAATATAAAGGTTTACTTTTAATAAAATGAGAATAATGAGAAGTGAGGGACGTGGTCCATTTCAAACCATTTTACCAGTAAGATAAGATGCAACTAATATATCCTGTAATGACGGGGAGACCCAATCCCGTCAAGTGGCGGAACATTAAATAAGCCACATTAAGATGTTGACGAGTAAATCATGCTAAACTTATATGCCTTAGTGACACTCTGCTTGGGGCTAAGTTAAGAACCTCAAAACTCCTTGCTTAGTTGTCCCCCAAAGATAAGGGTGTTAAAGAAAACTCGTTGCATCGCTCAAACCAAGTCAAACCGAGCTGTTTATAGCGATTTGAGCGGTTTGACGGTCCGGTCCGTTTTGATCTGTGCTTTGAACGTTTTTTTGAGCGATCTAGACCAAACCAACTGCAAGCAAATACACATATATAAATTATATTTAATTTTCATGTTATAGCCTTAACTTTATGGCACCATTAAAAAAAACTCTGTCCAATACATTATGTTTTTAGTTTTCATTTCCCAATTGACCGCGTCATCTAAATTGGTAAAAATTTCGAATTCCATCAAAAATGAAATCCAAAATTCCAAATCATCATTCGACTTGCTCAATGTTTGTCTCAAATTAAAATATTGTCAGTAGATTTGTTTAACTTTTTTTCAACTTCCTCAATGTTTTTTAGTTATATATAAAGATAGATGTACCCTTTATAATTATATATCCTATTTTTTTAATAATGTTATATTGATAGAGATTTTATTTTGAATATAGATGGTATGTTTTTTGAGTTTAAATCACATAAGAGGTCCAAACCGTCTAAAATCAGTCAGATCGGATCGTCTTTTTGTAGCCCGATTTGACTAGTTTGGTCACTTGCTACCAAACCACTCGATTTGAAAATTTTCTTAAATCACCGTTGTGGTTTTGTTCGTGGTTTAGGGGGTTAAATTGTGCAAACCAGACCGCGAATCAAAGGTTCTAAAGCGAGAACATTGAATCTTCTTCCTTCCTGAACCAATGACACCAAGAAGAAGACATAAAAACTCATCTCTTGTCATAAGCATGAACAATACATATGGATCTAATGCAATATGGCATCAAAGATGGAATATGCACATTCGAGTAATTCAACAAGTAACATTTACCTCAAGGGGCATAGTATTACCTTGGTTTCAAGGTTAAATAAAGCAAGAATCGTTAGTCACTAATGAGTAGTATATTTGAAATGAATCGATGATAAGTTTATAACTTTTGTGAGGTTACACCAAGTTTAACCAACATTCAAGGAAAAAACCCCAAATCGATCCTCTGTCTCCGAAAAGGAGAAATCAAGAATCAAATGTTCATTTGTATAAAATGGCCATCTAGAATAGAAATTACGAATTTAGGTTGTCTCAAGTGGAGATTTGACTTCTAATAGTTGTAAAACCTTCATACTATATAGGCTAGGTCATTTTCCCAAGTTTAAGCATAAATGGTAGTTGGAGCATTCAAATAACGAGATTTTAGCATATGTAAAACCTGAAATAGGGGAGTGAATTCAACTTGGTAGATTTCTAGTCAAAACCTAGAAATTCAAGAAGTTTAGGTAGAGAAGGAAATCTTGATCTAGCTTGGCAAACCGATTTTTGAGTGCAAACTTAATAACAAGTTTGATTCGCCGACTCCTGTTATGGTATGGGAACATGCTCAATATGTCAGACTATATAAGCTCAAGAGTATTATTTTAACAGTACCATACTTTCTTTATTGTTCTCTCTCCATACAAAAAGATGAGTTGGATAACATTCACTGATCAATAAATCAAATAAAGACATATGTTGAAGTTGGATAACATAATTTAATGCAATTATGGCTATAAAAGACAACCTTGTCAATGTTGCAATTCACCCGTCTTGACATGATTCTGGGTGATAGTGTAGGCAAAATCGGGTGTCAACAGCTATAGACTATCTTAGTTCTTCATATCTTTCTATGGCTTGATGTTCAAGACCGGTTACACATTTTATTGGATTATAAGGCCCAGTCCAAGATCGGTTATGTGTAACCCGATTTTTTCAAAAGAAAATTTTAAGTTTTTATAAAACACAATACAAGTTTTTTAGTATTTTTCAAGATTTTTTCTACTTAAATGTATTGCAACTGTTACATTTCAAAATCGTAATTATAAAAAACACATATAATTTTTTTGTGTAAAAAATATTTAAAAAATATATTTTTAAAAGTCGAGTCGAGCCTGATACTGGATTTGGGACCGACCCAATGAGGTCGGGAACGAGACCTAGATTGGTCCTAGAAATTTTAGTCGTGACAGGGATCAGCCAACATAGTTTCAAAGGGATCAATTTAAGATCGAGATTGATTTAGAACTAGCCTAGCTCGAACGAGATCTATTTTTTTACCATTTCTACTAAAGGACAAGGGGCCAATTTTTTTGGTTGCCAGTAGAGAAGGCCAAATTACTGTTATGCATATATACGAAACCAACAATCCGTATGCTGCGCTCCATACATCATACGGTAAAGAAATATTGTTAGACAAAACGGAAAACATTTGTTGCATTTCGTCCCGACACATTTTCCACATTTTTATTGCATCACGTCTAAGGGTTTGACGACTTACCGGCTTGTATAGTGGTTGTTGCGTCTTTTGAATCAACTTTGTAACGTGAGGGTTGTCGAAATGTTCAAAAGGCAACCCGACTTGAATGACACATTGTGTTGTCATTTGTCGGTTCAACTCGACATTATATGACCATATTTGACCTTGAGTGTCAAGTATCGGTTGGCTTGAATCGCCCCCCAACCTCAACCCTGGGCACATTTTTTCGGTGTGTCTTCTTAACGAAGAATTTTCTTCCGCCGTAAGAGAGCTTGACACAAATTTGCATTGTGCCTTTCTTTTTCCGTTTATGAGAACCGCCAAGTTGTAGTGATTCCAAATCTCGGACTTTCGTCCGTGTTCGATGAGAACTTGGGCAACTTGTTCGTTTGATGATTGTTTACCGGCCATTTTGTAAGACAAAGAGAGAAATAAACGAGAATTGTGAAGTGGAAACAAGAAATTAATATGAGTCGAATTCACAAAATATAGCGAGAAACCGAGAATTGTGAACGTTTTTTGCCTTTTTGAAGAAGAGAGAAAGTTGATATGTTTACTCCCAAATGAAATACATATTTATAGTGTTTTGGATACAAAAAATACCAAAAAACGGCTATATTTGGCTCACTACGACTAGCTCTAACAACTAAATTTTCAAAAAAATGGCTAGTTGGCCGAGCCAGGCCGGTCCCATAACCGGTCCCGGTCCCAAAAAACGACAAAAACATGAACCGGTCCTTATCGGTCCCGGTTCCGGTCCCAAGCCGCTCCTGGTTCCGGTCCTCCGGCGGTCCCGGGCCGAGCCGGTTTGGCCATCACTGCGACGGTGTACCCATTTTTGGGCCGATGCTTGATTTGTGCTAAAGCCCAAATGGGATGGGCTTTGGGTGAACCCATTCTTTCCTCTTTTATGAAATCTCTAAACCTTTTATCCACACATCGTTCCCGACATTAAACAAACGCACACGAGAAAACGAGATTCAAATCAGGAACTTGACCATGATGAACCAAGGATGTTCCATCATATAATATCTCCATCAATTGATCTCTCCCGAATCGTTTCAATTACAAGATTCTTCAATCGACTCTTCACGTGTAGTTCTTGATTTTTGTTGTTTTTGATTTATGTATTTGTAATCGCCGATAGCTAGGGTTAGGGTTTTCGGATTTGTTTTTCTTTTTGTGAAGATTGGTATGAAGTTATTATCAGTAGTTAAACTTTGTAATAATCTAATTGTAAGAAGGGAATGAGTTCTTTATCGTTTTATGTTTTTGTTTTGATTTAATTTTGATTTGGCGGTGTATAACAATGGAGATGGACAGCACTTCTCGTGGTAGACCATTTGATAGATCATCGAGAGATCCTGCTACACTGAAAAAACCTCGATTACTAACTGAAGAGACACCGTTTCTTCGCGGCAGTAGTAATGTTCCTAACGGTGGTGGTAGACCCCTTGTTCAAAGGCAACCGGCGTTTGGGTTCCGGTCGACGGCGGAGAGAGATAGAGACTCAGAAAGCAATGATTCAATGAGAGGTGGAGGAGGTTATCAGCCCCAGTCGCTAACGCAATCACAGCTGCAGCAGCAGCAGCATCATGAGCTTGTGAGTCAGTATAGGACAGCACTGGCGGAGCTGACTTTCAATTCGAAACCTATTATTACTAACCTGACTATCATTGCGGGAGAGAACGTGCAGGCTGCAAAAGCCATAGCTGCCACTATCTGCACAAATATTCTTGAGGTGATGATTCCGGTTTCTATAATAGAATGAGTAAAGGAATAGTCTCTAGAATTATGGTTAATGTTATAAGTTGATTTTATTTAGTTCACCATATTAAAGTGTTGAATTGTAATTGGGAGTTGTGATTAATGGATATATGGATTACAAACTAACATGGTACTTTCGTGAATGTGTGCGACACCATAAATCCAGCACCAGTGCAACAATCGCTACCGTTGAATGAAGAAGTTCTCTTCTTAATGTTGTTGTGATGTGAATCTTGATCCTTATGTTATTCTTTACCCTGCAACTTCATACCAACTATTACAAGCCTCGTGGGAGGTGCTAATGTTATATTGAATATGGAACAATTGTTGGGCTTCTAATTGAGCATTTGCATTTGTGTAAATTAGCTTGAGATAATATAAAACGCCAGTTTTGCAAAGATTATAAAATGTGCTTGATGAAGGTGAAAGGGATTGGGATACAGAGGAGAGAGGTGGTGGCCTTTTTGTGTTGGTTATTGCTTGTGGAAATGGAGGATTTGGATGGTGTACTGCATTAGTATTATGATTATGGTTACCGTACTGTCTCGAGTTTGAAATGCGATTACTTGTCGTTGTTCATGATATATCTCTTGCTTATCTTTACTGTCCAGAAAATGCCTATATTAGCTTCATGAAGAGCTTCATTTGATTGAAACTGTTCCTGACTTGGAAATTTGTTTTTAGGTTCCCAGTGATCAAAAGTTGCCATCGTTATACCTTCTTGACAGTATTGTGAAGAATATTGGGAGAGATTACATCAAATACTTTGCTGCCAGACTACCTGAGGTTAGATCTTTAGTCACACAAAGTGCCTTTTAACTATGTTTCTCTCATATTTGAAGCCATTTTATTTGTCCTCCACATGAAAAATACCATGAAGATTAGGCAAATAAAGAAGAGCATTTTCCTATTTTTTTAAATTTTGTACTTCTTTGATGTATGCTTTTGGCTCTATAAATGAAACTTATGGTTAAAATCATTTCTCTTTTATTTGTTAATCCACTTTAATGAGTGCTTCATATATAGTGAAGCAGTAACTTGCCATCAAAATGATCTCTGACCATGTATGCTGTGTTCAAATTTCTTGTTAGTCCTATGGATATTAATTATCACTGGTTAGTTGCTCCCCTGGGTGCGTCTTTTAGGTCTTCTGCAAGGCATATAGACAGGTTGATTCTGCAGTACATCCTGGTATGCGGCATCTTTTTGGGACTTGGAAAGGAGTATTCCCTCTTCAGTCACTTCAACTTATAGAGAAAGAACTTGGCTTCCAATCAGCTACAAATGGATCTTCTTCAGGGTTGGCAGCATCTAGATCCGAGCCACAGCCTCAACGCCCTGTTCGCAGTATTCATGTAAATCCGAAGTATTTGGAGGCGAGACAGAGACTCCAACAGTCAAGTACGGTAAGGGGCTATTTGAAAAATGTAACGTTTTATCAGTTGCACCGGAACCTCCTTACAAATTGAAAAGGTTTATAATATTTTGATCAACTGATGGATTGCTGCAACAATCATATGTTTCTAGTTACATGAGATTCTTTGTGGGTTCATAAAGCGAGGAAGGGCAGGGTTACATATTCAATTTACACATTTCATGTGCGTCTATGGATTTTATTTTCTCCTCAAAGTTAGACTAGTCTCTTTTGACTCTAATGTCCTAACCATTGCATCACTCAAATGGTAAGGAGTAATAAGAAACCAGTGATATATGTAAGGCTATAGGCACAAGCGAAATCCTATGGAATTACATTTTCTCTCAAACCATACTATTGGAATTAAATGATGTGATGCTGGTTAGCTTCAGGAAACATATATCATTCATTATGTTTCTGAATATTGTTATATATGCTTAGCACTTAACCAGTTCAATGCGGCAACTCACAACTGTGGCTTGCAAACAGCTTATCTACTTGATACTTAAATTAAGAGGGATATATCTTAGGTTTTCCTTGTGAGCATACCAACTTGGTGAATGGTAGCACCCAACACAACTGCCTTGTGTTTTTCTTAGCTCATAGATAATTGATGCTTGAATAAAGAGATTTACAAGTTTTAGTAGCAATATTTGAAAAGCATGGAGAATTTTATGAGCACTTGCTAGCATGAGTGCACCTACACCTTCATATAACATCTAGGTTCTGCGGTTGATATTTTTTTGTCTTTATTTTTGAACTATGTTATGAAGGCAAAAGGTCCAACTAGTGACACAAACCTGATTAACTCACCTGAGGATTCCGAGAGACAAGACAGAATAACAGCCAACACTAGTTCTGTGAGGCCACGTGCAGATCCTCGGCTTAAGGTAAATGTACAGTAGTTCGTATTTAGAATTTCTTAAATTAGTCCTTTATGTTTGTGACAATTGCTTAACAGTATATTAAATTTTGTAGAACATTCAGCAGGCACAAAGAGATGTGGAGAGCGCTTGTATACGTGAGAATGATGGTGCACCATATAGTGATTTTGATTATTGTTCTGATGTGTTGATTCCTTCAGAGGCTAGTTTTGGAAAATCTAGTGAAATAGTTGCTGAGCAGGGATTTGACAGTTCTTGGTATGGAGCTGGCAGCAATACTACAGAGACTATATCTGGCCAGAGAAATGGTTTTGATGTAAAACATGGATTCTCCAATTTGTCAGCCTCTAGATCTGCAAATGCAGATGTCAAATTGCAGCCTGTGAATAACATTGCAAGCAAAAGAGGCGGTGAGGTAAATAGAAGCTGGAAGAACTCGGAGGAAGAGGAGTACATGTGGGATGACATGAACTCACGACTGGCGACTCCAGGCAAATCTGGTAGTAGCTCTAAGAGAGACCCTCGTGCACATTCCATGAATGAAAAGTTGGTAAGTGTTAAGAAAACAGATTCCCATCTGAAACTTGGTAAATTTCATATGAGAAGTTGCAACTTGCAACTTGCAACTTGCTGGATGAATATACATACAAGTTGGGCACTCTAAAAATAGCAGTTCATGAAAAAATCTATTGGTCCTTGTCCAATTATGATTGCAAAAGATAATCCTGTTTCACATGTGGATGTGTTTTTAGTTTTTGATTTTAGTGGTGTGTGCACTTGAACAAGGAATATGATATGGACCATGCGACTTGGTTTTTCATCCTTGTAATTATTTCTCCCAGGATCATATCAGTGCATAAGATTCTTAGCTAAGTTCATTGCTCAAATACCTCCCTTAATGTTTTATCATTTATCCTCTGATCGTGGCGTGCAGGACATAATTTGCGGTTATCTTTAAGAGTCTGGAGAATGTTAGAAGTTCATTGTTCTGTTTATTTGCTTGTAAAACTAGTTGCAACTTCTGACTGAGGATCTACATCTTTACCTTGCAGGGTTTTGAGAATCGCCTCCAGAAACCACAAGGGATACAAAATATTGGTTCTAAGGTTGATAGAGAAGCTTCATCTGATTCACTATCTGCAAACCAGAAAGATGGAGCAGTTTTTAGACAGCCAGTGCAATCATTAGGCTCTCGTAGAAATTTACTAGATCATGCAGAAGTTCATTCTACCTCTTTCAGTGGGGTATCTACATCTGTTAACTCTCTCTCCAAAACCTCTTTGCAGCCACAGATAGGCGCCTCTCACATTGGAACCCAGCCACTTGGATTTCCTCCAAATGCAATAACGGGCCAACGACATACTCTTGGAGCTGCATCATCGTCAGGACAAGCACCAACACACCAGCGTCCTCCTTCACCCTTGTTGCCAACATATCATTCAAGTAAAATATTGCATAATTTATCTGGGCGAGATCCACCGACGACTCATCAGCTGGTTGGTG